CGGGGCGCCCCGCGCGGCCGCTGACGGCCCCGAACGGCCGCTAACGGCCGCTCTCTCTTGCAGTCGTCCCACAAGACGTTCAAGATCAAGCGCTTCCTGGCCAAGAAGCAGAAGCAGAACCGGCCCATCCCGCAGTGGATCCGCATGAAAACCGGCAACAAGATCAGGTAGCGCCGCGGGGCCCGGGCCCCGCCGTCCCYGCCGCTTCCCGCCTCGCGGGAGCCCCGCGGCCGCCTTTGCAGTCGGGGCAAAAGGGCCAGTTTCTGCCGTGTGGCAGTTGGGTGCCGCGGCCTTGGCTTGCGCTGCGCGCCGTGCAAAAGCAGGCTGCAATTGCAGTGCTCCCTGCCGTGGGGCGGCTGCCATTTCCCTGCTGAGAGCAACGCCGTTAGCGCCGGCTCTGGCTTGGCCTCCCTCCTGGYGAAGCCGCTTGCCCTCAGCGCCTACAGGGGTTTTACGTGTGCCTTGTACGTGGGTGTCTTCTCCTGCATCGGGGCCTCTTTCACGCACAGCTCTTTTGCGTGCTCAGGCAAAAGAGGATCTAAGCTTTTTGTGGTACTTGAATAATGAAATACATTCATGTGGTGCTATCCTTTTATTGCCATTGGGCAATGCAAGATGATGGGCCTTCCTCCCGGAGGAGGAGCTAGGGTGTTCTCCTCCTGGGTAATGCATCCTTCTCYGGGCGTTTGTACCTCTTAGACACATTGATTCAGTTGCCACAACAAGCCCATACAATAGTGGCTGAAGAAAGCAAACTTTAAAGAGATGTTCATAAACGAGAACAATGTTCATTGGTTCTGAACATAGCTAGTACAACATAGGTTGGGGTTTTGCTGATTTATACTGCTTTTGTCTTAGGTACAACTCTAAAAGGAGACACTGGAGAAGGACCAAGCTGGGCTTGTGAGAGAAACTGTCTCCAGGGAACTCTAATACACTCGTCTTTCTGCGTCAGATTGGTCCATCCCTCATTGCCTGGCGGCTCCACGGTGATTCCTTCTGTCCTGGTGGACTTCAGCGTCCATTTCTTATAAGCTGGCTAAGAGAAAATGTTAAGTAATTTTGTATCTGAAACAAGAAGACCATGTCCTATTAGTGTTCTTTTGTTCAGGGCTCATATGTATTGACAGTATAGAGGCTTGTTAATAAATATGCACCCACATTATTTGTTTGGAATTATTTCATGTGTRTATGGTGGAATGGCACTGTGGAGACTAGCACGAGCATGAGCAAGTTTTACCTCGTGTCATAAGCTCGGCTTTTTTCAGAGGGAGAGTAGTCTGACTTCCTTTTCCTTTCCTGTAATTCAGCAACAGTAAAGCTTGCCAGCCTCTTCTAAAAGACGCAACTAATTTTGACGTAGAGTTTGTTAAAAGAAAAGCTTCTATTTGGCAACCTGAAAAGGCAAAGTCGGCCTTTCAGGAGGACAACGCGTTTCCAGACTCTGAAAGGAAGGAACGGTTGTCATTTTATGACCTTCCTTAAACACTGGTGGTCCCAGTTAACTGTTCAGCATTGGTTAGTTAGTCTCAGGGAAGAATATAAGGGATGTTTCTGGTACATCTATGAAAAGTTAATAAGAAAATTAAGCAGCATAGTCAGAAGTTGCAAGAGTGGCCCCTGCACATGCCTCTGAGCTGGGAGSCTGCACGGAGCCCGGCCCTGCTGAGCTGGGGAAGGTTGAGTGTTGCTGGTGGGTCTGGCCCCTGGCCGGCAGCGCTGGGCTCTGCTCCCAGGCAGGACCRGGGCCGCTTGGGATGTTCAGGGTCACGATCCCAGCTGGGGAGCAGATGCAGCAGAAAAATGGGATGGGAAGRAAGTTTCACTTAGACTGGCTAGTAAGAGAGAAGAAGGGAGGGAGGAGCAGGACAAGGRTAGATGGGTGGGCTTATCCCCTTAGGAAGTGTAACGCTCAGGTGATTCACAAGTTCCTCTAGAGCATGGAATAACCAGAATATGWAACAATTTCTGGAGCTAATCTTTGTTAGCTAGAGTTGGTCTTAACGCCAGCCATAGATGCAGTTTATTTCAAAACATTTTCTGATTTGCAGTGATACTGCTCAAAGAAGAGTGAGCAGCTATTCAGAAAATGGGAGGTTAAAGGGATTAAACTGAGCTGATTAGTCAGCACTCCAGCTCCCCAGCACCCACCTTGGCTGYTAGGGCCTATAAAACATGACCTATTTTTGCAGGAGGGAACTGGAAAGGGAGGCTGTGGCCCAGCACCGAGCCTGGTGCTGCTTCCCAGTGCTGGGCTCTGCTCATGCTGCGCAACAGCGTGGACCGAGGACCTGTAGGTGCACGTTAAAAGTGCACCGTGCTCAGGGTCAGTGTGATGGTCTCTTCCCCTCAAGGCGTCGGCTGTATTCCTGTGAGCGCGGGAAAGCAAGGCTGGGATTTTTAYGAGTCTTGGGACACTTCAGGGGTATCTTAATTTCTTTTCCTGTGTGGTAAGAGCCTGGTTTCTGCTTCTTTATCAGAGGGAAGCAGTAAGTCACTGCAACAGGAAAGCAGCAGAGCKTTGCCAGAGAGGTTTCAAAATGCTTCAGAGATGTCTCAACGAGGCCCACGCGCTGCACAGCCCTTTGCCTCAGCGCCTTTAAAATTGTTTTCTTCTGTCTAAAAGGCCTGCAACAAAAGCCTCCTGCTCCCCAAAATGTTTGACCAGCTTTGATGGCTTTGAATTTGTTTAGTTGCTCCAGCGTTTGTTTAGCTGCTGAGTTTTATGGCTGTTTTTACAGTTCCTGAAGGCCATGCTCTCCTCTTTGAAGCGAGCGCTAGCTTGGGAGCTGGGTCCCTGTGGGAGGTGGGAGGTGGGCCCGGATGCCTGCTGCTCTCCCACSGCCGCAGCTCGCAGCGTTTCCCATCTAACTGCGACCATCAGGACTCGGCTGAGGAGGGAAAAAGTAATTTTTACGGTCTTGAAAGTGGATTGGAACAGTCTTCTAGACAGTACTTACATTAAAATTTTTCCTAGGCTTAAGCTGCTTGTTAATGTGTGGTCATTACTATCATTACTATCATTACTGTGCTGTTCATATCAAATGGTGGCAGCTTTGACTGAATCTGCATTTCAAATTAGACATTAAGGGACAACATAAGGTAAATCTGGCTAAAATCAAGCTTCTGCAGGGCTCTACTAATGCAAAAACACTGCTGGTTTGCAACMATTTCTCTTGTTCCAGTGGCAGCCTCCTTGTCCTTCTCTTCCCTATGGGATTTGGAGGGATCACAAATCTCTGCTCAACTCTGCTCACRTGCAATACCTCAAATATCTGCAGAGGCTTTAAGGAAGAGAATTGCAAAGAGCTTGGATATTCTCCTCCGTTCATTTTTGTAGGGAATGAGAGTTGGATTCTTCCAGATGTYTCTGAGTGAGCTGATTTTCTACTAGAATTTTGTGCTTAATGCAGCTGTTTTTATGAAGCGACTGCTCCTCTATGGGTGTCAAAGTCAACCACACAAGGCAGGGTGGGTCCCTGCAAGTGGTTGGTGGTTTGGGCAAACAGAGCRGGAGCAAGTGCATGATTTGAAGATCCTTTTCCTCTCTCTGTGGTGAGGCAGGTTAGGCAGTAACGCGTTAACGTGTGTGTTGTGATACCACCAAGAGCAAACAGAGCTCTGGGCTCACTCCTTCTGAAGGTCGTAACGTGCCTGGGAGCAGAACGGAGCTACAAACATACGGGAAAAATAATGGGAAAAATCTGCCTACAGGGGAGTTTTATTAACTGCCAAGGAGAGACAAATACTGGAAAATCACTTAGTTGGGTTTAACTGTTGCATTTGCAGGTTAAATTTTAATTTTCAGTAGAGTCCAAGTCCAGGTTTCCTGGTGGTGTGTGACTAAGCTGCAGTCACAAGTGCCAAGGAAACCGCTCCTTCAAGGGCATTCGCAACGATTCCTCTGTTTACTCTGCGACGTTCTCAGAGGCGGTGGCGGGAGCGATCCCGTGGCCTCCCCARCAGCACGACAGGATGGGACTAAGGTCAGAAACGCACCCGTTACCAAAGCAACCTGTGCCGTTTGCGCTGGAGYTCGCGGGAAGACGGCCGGGACATCGGCAGGGCAGCCACGGAAGCAGCCACATAGTTCTATGCTTTTATTCATCAGAGTGTCACAAAACCYGTGCAGATCCAGCGTTAAATCCATCCCCAGTGTATTTGTGTCAGCCGCTGAGGTCTGTGATTCACCTGGAGCCGTCTCCGCACTCCRGGCACTGCTGACCGCGTCGTTCCCGGCTGCAGGGAGCGTTTCCCGACGCAGTGCGGATGTGAGGGGCTCTGTGCAGGGTGCGGGACAGCAAGGGGAGGAACCGAAACCTGCCGCTTTGGGATCACTTCTTCAACCAGACTATCGYGTCAGGGGCTAAAAATGGTCTCGTGCTTTTGAAAAAGAGGAAGAGGCAGCTGTTTTTTCCTCCAGGGACGCTCTGCAGCGGTGCTGGCCCAGGAGGATGTGAGCGGCGGCTCTGCCCGTGCRGCCGCCCRCACTCRCACCCTTGCTCAAGAGTTTCGCTTCGGCCCATGACCTCAGCAGAGCGGAGGCATCTCCYGGCCTTCGCACCTCTTCCACGTCCSCAGCAGTGAGTCACCTTCCCAGAGCAGCCTCTGGATTCTGTCCCCATGTGGGATCCTGTGCGTGTCCCTGTCCCCAGAGCCACCTCACTGCCTGCCCATGCGCCTGGGAGCGAGGGAAGTGTGCGTGGCGGGGGGCCGGGGCCCTGCTGGGGCCCGGGCAGCCTTCCTGCGCTCCCAGCCAGCAGGGATGTGCGCGGGAAGGGAAGCAGGGCAAGCAGAAAAGCTCATTCTTCCCCCTGCCAGGCCGGTGGCATCCGCGTGCAGTTGCACAAGCGGGAGTCGCGCTGCGCTGGAGCGTCCGTGCGGGCGCCGCGACGCCGCAACCGGTCCGACCTCCCAGCYCCGCCGGGAGCGAGGGCAGCGCCAGGGCCGGCAGCCCCGTTCCRCGGGTGGGGACGGCGAGTCACCGCGGCAGTGTGACCGGCCCAGCGTCACCCGCAGCGCCCGCTCCTGGCACGGAACACCGTGGCCATGGAAAGCAGGACGTCTGGGGAGAGCTGTGAGCCCAAAACGCTGCCGATGGCCCCGCGTGCGCTCACAGTGTGGCCGTGGAGGCACCGTCCCCGCGCGGGGTCAGTGCAGGGGCACCAGGCCCGCTGTGTGTCCCATAGYGGGGATGGCAGCCCGCGGGCTCAGCGCTCCTGGAAGAAGGCGAGCGCCTGCCGGACGAAGCCGCGCAGGCTGGGCAGCCGCCGGGGCGGCCGCGCGCCCCCCTGGGCGCCGGGCTCGGCGCCTGGCCCGGCCTCGCGGGACGACTTACAGTTGTTGTTGGCGTTGTGGGCGCCCGGCGGCAGCAGGTCCTCCTCCAGCGCCCCCGCCAGCTCCTTCAGCTCCCGCGAGGCGGTGGCGGGCAGGTACTGCCAGGCCTTGCGCCCGCTGTGGTCGCGGCGGGCGGCGTCGGCCCCGTAGGCGCCCACCAGCACCTTGATGAGCATCTCGTGGCCCTGCAGGGCGGCGAGGTGCAGYGGCGTGAGCCCGCCGCTGCCCGCCGCCACGTTCACGTCCACCGCGCAGCCCCGGCTCTGCGCCAGCGCCACCGCCCTGATGAGGCTCTCGTGGCGCCCGTGCTTGGCCAGCCAGTGCAGCGCCGTGAAGCCCGTCACGAAGTCCCTGCGGGCCAGCAGCCCGGGGTCCATGTCCAGCAGCCGCAGGATGCCCTCCTCGTCGCCCTGCGCCGCCACCAGCAGCCACTCGTGCTCCAGCGGGTCCAGTGCCAGCGACAGCACCTCGGCGCTGGGCTCRGGTGGCGGCAGTGGCCCCACGGACAGGTCGCCGAGGCGCTGGGCGGCTGCCAGCCACGCGCCGCTGCCGGGGCCATTGCTCTGCAGGAGAATTTCCTTCAGCTCCTTCCTCCGGGTGCTGCCGGCGCCGATGGAGAGGCGGGCGCAGGCGCGGGACCAGCTCCCTGAGCCCCGGCTGCCGCGGCTCCCGCCGCCCTCGCTGCCCTGCAGCCGCCAGGAAGCGCGACGGAGCCCGGGGCTGCCACCTGGGAGCTGGGCACTGTCCAGCAGGGCGGCCGCCAGGGCCGCGCCGGGYGCCTGCTCCTGCGAGGCCACCTCGTCCTCGCGCCGGGCCATGCCGGCGGCTCCAGCTCYGGCAGCGGCGGGACCCCTGTGCGCTCCTGCTCCCGGCGCGCGGCCGCCGCTGGGCGGCTCTGCCCTGCCGGAGCGCGGGGCGCCCGGGCGCCTCCTCGCTGCCTCCTCCCTCCTCCCGCCTTCCCTCTCCTCCCTCCCCGGCTGCCAGGGAGCGGAGCGTGCTCCGCTCGGCTGCGGCCGGCCGCGCTCACGGTTCTGCCCTTGCCKCAGGCAGCGACCCTGGCGCCCAGGCTGCCTGTGGGCGCCCGCCTGCTGTCCCGTGGGGCTCACGAGGGAGGACGRGGCGGCCTTGGTTGGGGGTTGGCCACTGGCCAGCCTGGGGAACTTGCTCCGAGTTTTCCCCTGATTTCACAGGAAGCAGGACAAACTCCCGCGCCGTGGGTAGCCCCTGGTTCACCAAGGCCTCCTCCGTGATCTATTGCAAAGCCATGGTGCAGCCCAGTGCCCACAGGCTGCCTCTGCCGCCCTTCCCACCTCCCTGTGGGAGCAGTGGGATGGTGGCTCATCCATCGGGATGGCCAGGAGCTCTGATTCCCATGAGCCCAACAGAGCAGYCCCAGCTGTGCTCCTGTGTGTGGCATTTCCACTTGGCATCATTTCCATTGRAAAACGGTGAGACAGAGGGAACGGCCCGGGGGCCATGGGGGAAAATCCAAGCCAGCGCAACCACCGTGCACCGGTGCCCGGGCAAGCACCAGGCTCCGGGCTGGCACCGGAGGCTGCACAGGCTGTGCGAGCGCTGCCGCGACGCAGCGGGCTGCACACACGAGACCCTGAAAGCAGGGAGGCCCTGGCTCCTGGGGCAGAATTCCCGAGAGCGGGATCCGCGCTCAGGGACACGGATCACACTCACACTCACACTCACACTCACACAAGGGCAGCGCGGCCGCCGGCCCCGCCCGCCCCGGTGGTGCCGGTGCCGTTGGCGCCGCCCCGCCCGCC